AAATTTTTTCAGTCCAATCCTAAGCCCCTTTTCTAGCAGTGCTACCCCTGGAGAACTGACAATGACAGAAACAAAGAAGACTTTGCCATGACTGGGCTACAGCGTGGCTAAATAGGTTCAGCCTTTGGCCAGCACCAGGGTCTGGAGATCAAGGCCAGGAATTGTTCTGTTGGGTTTCTTGGTTTTTTCTCAGTAGTTCCTGCTGCTGAACTTCCAGATGCAGATGTGATGAGACAAAAGGGGTTTCAGAGGGAGGTGACAAAGCTGCCCATGACTGTAGCCCCTGGAGCAGCCTCCTGCACAGAGGCCATAGGGAGTGACCACCTGGCAGAATTCCCTCTCACAGCTACACTGGACTTTGTCTGGGGCATCAGCATGAGTTTATTCTATCAACATTTCATTTTTTCCTCAAAAAAGCTGCTTACAAGAGGTTTTTTTATCACTTTGATGCTTAGTACAGATGAAATGGTTTATCTTGCTAGAGATATTGCTGTGTTTGACCAAAAGTTCTAGGATATTTTCTTTGGTGTTATTTACAAGACACAGCTCAAATTGGATTTTTCTGTTTCATCTGACCTAAAAAATTTACTTTCCATTTTTTAATCCTTCTTAGATAATAATTACAGTTGTAAAATGGGCTGTCATTCTCCCAAGCAGAGGCTTACTGGCTGAAGATGGAGCATGGAGTGTGGTGCATGCCTAGCTTTGCAGTCATTTGGTGTTCCATATATAGAGACAACACTGAGGAAAGCAGGAGAAAAACAGAACTGATGCTGCTGTGTTTGTGCTACAGATAGGAAATCAATAACATATTTTTGATGAAAGGTGGGAGCTGCAATTCATACCTGTAAAGTTGGTGTGTCAAAAATCTATGTAAGCATTAACAAAAAATATTCATTAACTACTTGGGTAGAAGTTTGGTGGTTTTTTTCCCCATTCATCTGTAAAATCCATTCTGTGCTCTCAGCTGCTGAGCCTCTGACCCAAGCAGGCACACAGGAACTGCCAGCAGGAAAATGAGAAATATTGTGCAGAGCTAGCACCAAATGTCTTTGCACTTAGACCTCACTGGGAAATGCAAAGTACTCTGATAACATGTTTGATGACTATTTCAGTAAATTACAAAAGTCACTGTCTCTGCCTGTGTATCAGGATAATTTGCCACTCAAACCTGAAATTGTGCAACATTTCACTACAGTTGCTGCTACTAAAGAAAAAGCAGATATGTAGTCAAGAATTTGTTTCGGGGTTACTAAATATTTCATTTACTAAATCTACCTTGTCTCATAACTGGAAACAGTAATGAGAATATTTTAATTATGTTTTCCTCCAACTTTAATATTCAGGAAGATTGAGGCAGTGCTATGCATATGAATTTAAAACTTGATAACACAAAGAGATTAAATCACTAACAAAAGTATGTGGATGTCCAAGTAATAAAAGGAGAATATCAAAGTACACAAAAAGTGAAACACTACAGAAACCATACCGTAAAAATAAATAAAATTTGAACATTTTTTAATGTACTCAGGCTTCAAAGGCTTTTTCACTTCCCAGACGAGCTCTATTCTCTAGTATTATACCTCAAGAACAAAGTGTACATCATCTGAAAAATGTGCAGTATTGGTGGTTGGATTTTTTTGGGAAGAGTTAAATTGAGGCAAGACTCCCTGGTCTTTCCCCTTTTCTGGCATTCCTTTAGTATTATTGATAGAACTGTTGACTAATTGCACCCATCACCATTTTCTGTTGAAGTTTCCTACAGAATTCCATGCACATGACCTAGGAAGTGTTCATCTTAGGTTTAAGTATGAGCAGATGGTAAGTAAGCAAGATTCAAGCTTGCTTATGGTGAACTAGATCATGTATTACAGAAAGGAATAAACAACGGCTTCCATTTATTATCAAGTAGTACAAGGTGCTCAAAAGGCAGAGCTCAGTTTTAGAGAAATGCTCCATTTCCAGCTTGTTAGTTCTGTTACTGGGAACTGCAGCTCTGCAGTGTGGCCCGAGTTTGCCTGGCTGTCCTGTGCTGGGGAGGAGGGTAAGGACAGGAGCTGTGTGAGCAGCCTGGGCTGTGTCCCCCAGCCCGGGAGGATTTTCAGTCCTTCTGGGCAGCTGGCAGCAGCTCTGGAATCAGGCAGCCCTTGGGTAATGCTATTACCAAAATGGGGGCAAACAAGGCTCTTCACAAAGGCATCCTTTGCTAAGAAAAGTAGCTTTACATAAAAGGTAAAGCGTTTGTTTATCTTGGGAGTGTGCGCCAGGAAGAGCCAGAGGGTCACACAGAGCTACCCTAGCAAACTGCAAGCTCCTGATTATACCATGGCAATATCCTGATCCAGTCCTCAAAAATAAATCCTTGCTCATTGATACAGCAAGAGGGATTATATATACAATGTTTGCCCTACAGTATTTCTGGAATATTGTTTTTATGTTCTGATTCAAATATTTGGGAATGTTGTAATGCAAGTGTTGCTCTGGTTTAGGTGTTGTAGAGGGTGGAATGTTGGCAGCAGCCAGTGCACATTAACAGCTGGAGCAACTTCAACCTCAGCTAACACTCTCTCTGTGTCTCAGTAGAGATATTTGAGATGGAAGGACATGTTTTAATCTGAGTTAAAAGAGAATTTTGTCTTTTGTGTATTAGTTTAATAAAAGAGACATTGAGGCATTACAGTTTGACCTAAAGACAGGATACAGATGCCACTGATTAATTTTACTGTCATAAAGTAGTTGTTCCTGCTAACAAAGGAATTGACATTATGTTCTCTTGCAATGTATTCTGCCCTTTATAACCTTCAGAGCTACATACAGAAATCAGGAATTGTGTGGTTTGCTCATATCCCCTCAGTATTATATATTTCCCAAAGGGAAGGCTGAGGATACCTGAGAACATTGTCTGATAAGACAGCTTGGTTAATGTCTGTGGGTTTAGACTCTGTGGTTATCACCAAATTGCAAAAAGCAATTTCTAATCTTGACTGGAAAAGAAAAAAAAAAAAATCCTGAGGAAAAAAAGTGTTGTTTTCTGAGATGAATCAATTTCAAACACCCTTGGAGGCTAAAAAGTTAACATTTTCTTGTGCTGCTACAAATATTTCTCTACGGCCCCCAAGTGTACTAAGTCAGGGTAACACAACTGATTTGAACATTAGTGGGACCAATGAAGTTGGATCCTATTTTATCATGGTGTTTTGCCTCTGAATTCACATCTAAACCCAGCAACTTTAACTATTAAGCTAGACTAAAGATTAAACTATGCTGAGCTAATACTCAAGGGATATAAATATGTGGAGTTCCTATGCAAAGTTCCATATAAAAATGCTTCATTTCACAGTATCCCTCAACTCATCATTCATTGTCTCATGCATTCATTTTTTAGAATCAGAAGTTTATAGATATGTTAACTTATAAATTACACGTTATTCACTTTGACTCCTATTATTTGTTATCTTCTGTCTTTTCAGTGGATGTGTACAGATTGAGATATGAGAGAGGATTTAGGTTATGGTGACGACATTAACTGCAGTTTTACCCAAATGTGTTGTTCCTTCCTGCATTAGCATTTTTTGCATTAGAAGGATATGGTTTCATAAAATGTTATCTACTACTTGGTTTAAATATATCACTTTACAAAAGAGAACAGAAGAATTTGTGAATGCTTTTTCTAAATTAGAGAGATTTTTAGCAAGGACACGTGAGTTTGTTTCTCAGAGCCCCCATGTGGTGCAGACAGACTGATGGGATCAATCCCATTGCCTTGCCCATGATTATCTATCCTGGCACTCTGGAGTGATTCATTTTCCATGCTGGTTTAGTCTAAAGCTTCCCATGGGAGGAAGCTGCTGCCTGTACTCATTCAAAGATAGTGTCTGCCATGGTTATCATTTAAGAATTAATTGTTTGTGACATACACAGATTAAATAAATAGGACTGGATAGGTTTTCAGTGTTGAACTGGGTTTAATTACCAGAAGGAAGAATGTAGGCTGATTTCTTCTCTTAGGAACTACACGAGATGGATGCAGGAATTGTCCTTTAATGACAGATCAGAATTCTTCATCTCACCATATCTGACTGCTCATGCAAGCAGTGGCTGAAGACTTTTACAAGGTAGACAGCAATTCCGTATTTAGTCCTCACAGTGCCTTCAAACAAGCTGATTCACAGGCCATGTGCTAATATTAATGTTAAACTATCCTCATGGAGCACAAACTGTCACCACTCTTCCCTCTTTAAGTGTGTTACAGAGCACTGCTTCTCTTTGTCTTAGGGAGATGGGAAAGGCAAATTGTCTGTACATGCTGACCAGAGGAACAGGCTGCAGGATGCACTGTGATATAGTGAGGGAGTTTTATGAATCAGGCTTTCCTGAACTCCTCAGGACAGCAGCAGGATTCATTACTGCACCTGACTCTTGACTTACTCTGCCAGTCCTGGCTCGCGAAGTTGCCCAGCCTCAGTTGCAAGAAGCGGGATGCTGCCAAAGCCACCAACTTTGTGACGTTCCAAACCACTCTGCTGGGTGAAGGAAGGCAGATTGAGACATGAAGAAAAGCCAGCTCAGTATTCAAAAGCTTTGTTCATCCACAGGAAATGGGAATTGTTCTCAGGTAGAGCAGCTGGGGAATCATTCTTAGGGTGGAAATAACCAAACTGGATCTTAAGTTTTCAGCTGCTTTTGCAAATACAGTGTTAGGCTGAAGGGCACTTCTGCTGCTGCATTTTTCAGCAGGGAGAGAGGAATGTGTTCTTACACAATGGTTTTGATGGTATTTTTTCTTGCTTTATCTCATCCCTCCAGTTTTTTTGGCAGGCATTTGAGCAGCAACTTTCTGTTCAAGCTCATTTCTTTGGTAATTATCCTAAGTGGTACAACACTATCCAATCATACTTTTTATGAGACACACTCATCATTAGAGATAAGTTTTGCTTCACAGAAACTAATCATAATATCAGAGAATATTACAGTAATACCACACATGTCTGTTTTGTTAGACTACTGTGTCTTGGGATGGAGATAAGCTGCTTTGTGTACAGAATGGAGAGAAGGAAGGCCGTGGCTGGACCCAGTGGATTGAAGGAGATGAAATGCACTTGGTAAGATCATGTAAGAGGTTTTGAATGCCCCTCCATTCAAATGGTTAGCTATAACACAGCAGGGAAGGTGCTATGTCATTTTGACTTACTTTGACATAATTGGGTATTGGTGCAGCATTTGACTTGTTTCTAAAGCAACAATTTCATTTGGACCCATTATGTTTTTATGTCTCATTCAAAGCCTGACCATTTTGAATGCTATTTCTATGCTCAGTGCCTGTCCAGACTCAACCAGACTGAAATGTTCACACGAGGAAGATGTTTATCACAATGTCCCTCACAGTCTGCAAAATGCTCAGTATGGGAGCTGTGAAATTGAGCACCTAAAAATAAGGGAAAATTACAAAATTGTTCTTTTAAAATAATTGTAGGTCACACTACATTATAGCCTAGAGAACTAAATCAGCAATTAAGCTTTTGAAATTGATGATTTTTTTTCAGATCATTTTTATCTTTCTAAATTAACAGGACCTGAAAGAAGATGCCTGTTCTTTTGTTCTATAACTCTTTATAGCGTCCTCGCTCTCTCATCAGTGTGGGTAAAAGGCAGTGCTCCTGCTGGGATAATAAATTCCAACCTCCATTTCTGCTCACTGTGCAGTGCTGTTAGCATTCAGCAGTCTAAATGGATATCATCTAAATGTTCAAATCAGTAGCAGAGTTATCAAATCCTTGCAGAATTACCCCAAGCACCTTATTACTAAACATAATTTTGGGGAAGTATTGGTGGTTCTAGAATGCAGTTGAGGAGAGGAATGGATATGACAGATCTTCCCACCTGGCCTTGGTGCAGCACAGGCAGGGAGAAGGTTGCTGTATAAGTGAGGACTTCATAGCTGAGGCCATGGACTCACCTGGAGGAGGGGAGGCAGCAGGAAAAGGAGATGCCCAAATTCCCTGTGCAGGCACATTCCCTCCAAGAAGCACGTGTGAGTGTTTCCCACTCCCCAGCTGCACAGCAGGCAGGGCCATGGCAGCAGGCACAGCCCTTGCAGCTCCTCTGCTGGCAGACAGGTCCAGCTACCAGCACAGTGCCTGGCCCCAAGTTCAGCTCACACCTGGCTGCCCTCAGTCCTGCACCTCTGTGCCTCCCCTGCGCACAGAAACAATGGCACCTGCTGCTCCTGGACTTCTCTGGACTGGCATCCTGCTTTCTGGCCTTTGCTAGCTACCAGGCATTATCTCTTCCCATCTCCTGTCCCCAGCACCAATTCCTTCAGCCCTGGTTTCTGCTGTCCTTATTCTGATTCCTGCTCTAGCCATGCAGCCTGGCCCTGGACCTCCATGCCCAGACCACTTTATAGACTTGTCAGCAGGTTGATTTTAGAAGTCAGAACTTCTGATTCTGTTGCTCAAATACTTGTGTCTAGAGCCAGTTTAGGTAGCCCAGAGTAACCTGATTGCTCTGATGTTCCTTTTCAGAAGGCTGGGAGGAATTCTGGATCATACCTGCAAGTTCATGCATTCACTCATTGGCACTTGGAAAATTTACCACAATCTGTCTCCCATGTATGCAGAAGTCAGTACAAAATTAATTAATGCAAAGAAAGTAACCGAGTATTTTAGAGCCCACTCCTCGATCTTTCAATTTTCTCACTTCTGTTATTTCATTAATTTCAAAAGATGTTTTCTTTATTTCTCTAATCCCTGCTAATGCAGCTCTCTCCATTAATAGTACAATAGAATCCCCTTTAGGATATTATTTTTGACCAGCTAAGAATACTAGGTCCCGTCCTTTTGAGAGAGCTTTAATACAATGAGCAGTTACATTTAAAGAATTTATACTTCAATAGCTTTATGATCCTATTGAACTTTACACAATGAGCCAAGTGTTAATTTATTCTTTTCACAGTTCTGCAGAAAGTAGGACCACATCCTTTAGTAGTTTATCGCTTCCTACTTTCTTCATTTCATTCTGTGGTCTGTACTTTGCAGGTTTTTTTAGATTTTATTTTATGTTAGTGACTTATTTGACCATTCCCCATTTCCTTTTGAGTTTTATTGCCCTTTTCTATTGTATTGATTGCTTCTGCTCTGTAGTTTTTGTCACTGTCAGCAGATCTCTCAGCCCTTATTGCACACTTCTTCTTTTGGAGTGAACAGAACAGGTCCTAACCAAAGTCACTGCATCAGTCTCTTGTTCCACCAACTCAACATGAAGCACTTTCTCTTATTGGGGTCGAGCAACATATGTCAATTAAGATTATTGGCCTGGTTTAAGGTTTTTTAAAGTCATTTTATCAAAGTCCCCTATAAGAACTGTGCATAGCTTAATCAAAATATTCTGGGAGCTTTATTAAAAATCTCATCTTGAACTGGGAAGTGTATCCCTTCTGCTAGGTCATGCATGAGCACTGTCTTTATGTACCTTAAGAGCTTCCACACTCTTTTTTCTTGCACCTAAACCTTGCCACAGGCACATGCCCCACCTGCACACACCTCTGTGCACTTCTCAGGTGAAATTTGAGGAGTTTCAGGAATGGGGATGGGTGAACAGGAAACAGCAGCAGCCTCACAAATCCCAGCCCAGGATGGGAACTCTGCCCCTACTCATGCCCAGCTCCCAGAGGTGCAGAGATCAGCAAGGGGGGTTCCAAAGCTCCAGTGGAACTCAAAGAATCAGCTTTCCACATCCAGGGTGCTCAGGCAAACCCTCAGTGCTCTGCTGGTTCACAGGCCTGGAGCAAATCTGTCCAGTCACCTGCCTTTGGTAGCCAGGAGCTCTGTGTTGCTGGAGGGACCTTGATTTCTGAATTTGCAGGCTTGAGCTGCCAGTTGTCACCACACCGATTAAGAGCTGGCGAGGCAAATCCATCCCCACTGCTTTATGTACCCAGAACAGGGAATGCCCATGCCAAAGGCCTAAAGCAGTTGTCTATTATTCACTGCAAATCAAGAATGATGCACCAGGAACATATTTGGCCATTTAAAATCCAAGATCCCAAAATAACTTCCCTTGCTCCACCTTTTAGTAGGAAACAAACCCAAACCCCAATGTTTTCTTTTAGGATGAAAAATAGGCTAAAATATGTACAAGCCTCCCGTTTTAACTTAATAGAAAATCATGAATTCAAATTCAGCTGGACGTACACACGAATCTATAATGTTTGTGTCCTAAATAAAAACTGTGGTTTCAAATTATTTTCTCTCCCTAGGAAATAAGAGTGTGTGGAGTCACATGTAAGCAGGTCTTTAAGAAGGTGCAGTGAGCTACTGCTGCTACAGGAGTGAAGAACAACAGAATTTACTGACTTGCCAGCTCCAAATACTAGTACTGAGCATCGTCAGCAGCAAGAGCAAACACAGAAATGAAGATCGCATTAGAACCATATAGCTGGAATAAAATATTTTTAGGAAATTGAAAAAAATGACTGCAAATAAAACTACTTTTAGAAGTGCCAATTAAAGATACTAAACTCTCTAAATGTGTGCATACCATAATTCTTGACTATGCCAAAAAAGGACTATTAGGTATAAAACAAGATGCTGGAGGTTTAGACCTTGTAAGCTATTTTTTACTCTCAGTAGACATCACTCTTTCAGAGCCTTAGCCTTGTTCTCAAATGGTGAACTGCAGTTTTAAGGCAGCAAATGAGAGCTGTAGGATGCAGCTTACAGTTAAATCCTGAATTCACTGAAGCCAGTGAGAATGTTACCATTAGCTCTGGTGGAGTAGATCTATACTGCAAGTGTTCCATCAAAATAAAAGTCTCATTTCTCAGAATAAGTAAATTTATGGATCAATGCCTTAGAAAAAACAATGCTTACAAAAGCATGGCTAAGGGGCAGTGCTTTTCCAAATGCTTTAGCCAATATCTGCCCATGCATTTTTTTTGTTGTTGTTCTGGAGACACTGAGAGTAAGGTCATAGCTAGAAACTGTCTATAACTGTACACACACCACACAGAGGATGAGACCAGCATTTCTTAGTACAATATCATTTGCAGATATTTTATGCCCATCATAGTCCCATGTTCTTGTGCAGACTGAGCATAGGAGAGCCTTGGCCTGGCAGTTGAAATCAAAACACTGATCAAACCTCATTGAGGGGAATAATACTGCCAGATTTTCAGTCCATCAGCACACTGGATACAGTGAGCACCACCAGGTCATATCATATCAAATTCAAAAAGGTTTAAATTCATAAAGCTTTAGCATGTAACCCAGAATTTCAGTGTCTCCTGTAACAGCTGTTATCAGCCACTTCCAGGGACTCAGTCAGTGGGGAAATCACCGCAGCAGAGCCTGCTCTGAAGTGGGAGCATCCCTTTCCCTGCTCTGCTGCAGCTCCTCTGCTTAGCCCTGCTTTTGCCTTCCCTGGGGACTCAGTGCTGACTGAGACAGTTTAGACCTGTACATGGAAAAATGCTGCCATCCTCTACTAACCAGAGACTGTTTTAAAACATGCATTGTTATTAATCCATTGTTATTAAGCTGGGAGCCTGATCTAACATGGACTCAGAGACTCACAGAATGGCCTGGAATGGAAGGGACCTCAGGGATCCAACCTGCCTGCTATGGGCAGGGACACAGCACGAGGGAAAGGAGGCTCAGAAACAGCCATTGTAAAGTCTAAAGTTAGCACAGCAGGGATGGTAAACTTTCTGAACTATGTTATTTCAATGGCACTGTATCTTGTGCGTAAAGCACCAGATGTGCTGTAAGAGACATCTAATTCAATTTTCTAAAGTTCAGGGGTTTACTTCAGAAAGTGCCCAGAAGATATTACCCATGGAGACTTAAGCATCCCCATGTGATAAACAGGTGAATAATACTCCCTGTCCATGTAAATTCTTGTGCTAGCATTGCAACAGCTGTGGAAGATACCACTCAGAATTACAGACATGTAATGAATTTTTTTTATTAAATTCCCCTGTAATTCTTTTTCGTGGTAATACTTATGGCTAAGGAAGTCTCTGGGAAATATACTTGAGTCTGATCAGCCAGGTCCATAAAGAAGCTGCTTTTCACTCCTGGAAGAGTGTGTTAGCCAGCCAGCTGTCTGTCCATAGCTAAATGGGTATCCTGACAGACAGACAGACCACCAACTCATGGGGATTGAGTTTTCTGGTACTTGGAGTGGGACAGATCAAAATTGGTTTCAATTAAATAAGGTAGAAAGGTTGTAGGAGAAGGAAAGGATCAGAAACTTGAGGATCTTAGGCTAAAATGCTGCTCTGCTTAAGGGAAATTGCAAATACTTGCCTATTTAAAATGCTATTTATCATCTAACACAAGGTTGAGGATATCTCAGTGGCCAAATTTCAGCACATCAGTAATTTGTTTTTCTTGGGAGATTATTGGACACAGAACCTTTTTTCCTTAAAGTTTCTAATTATTGATTTCATGATCATGGACACCTTTCCACTCTTCAGCCCCAAGGAGAGCAAGAGAACAAACAAGTAACTGTAATAAAGGGATGGCTCACACCTCCATCCCCAGATAAACCCGACAGAATTTTTTTTAATGCTTAGCACTGCTTACAACCTTCTTGGAAATGTAGTTTTCCTTCAATAGAACTTGGCGGTTCATAACCCTTAATTCACCAGCTGTCTTCTAATTTTTGCCTGCAGTTCTCTCCAGTCTTGTATAACACTCACAAACTCTTTTTGCAGAAGGTTGTAAGTGGATCAATTAACATCTAGCTAAGAAATACAATTGTTAAAAGCTATTATTATTGTAATCAAACAGACAGCTTTTCTCCTTTGGGTCATTTGGTACAAGGGCAAATTTAGCATCATTCTAATAACTATTGGCTTATCAAGCAGAAGCAATGTAACCTGCTGCTAATTATGGAGGAAAGGCAAGCCCACAAAGCACTTCCACATCTCATGGATGGAAAATACAGGAACTTCAGAAATGTTTAACTTTGAATAGATTCTCTTCAATTCATCTCAATTGCTTGTCATTATAATTGTAACCTCTTACCTCACTGCAGCAACCCTTTCCCTTGGAAAAGGAAATTATGTTCATCTATTGCTTCCACAACTATGCTTTCCAATTAATGTGTGTAAAATTACCCATGCTGTTTTCATGAACCTTTAACAACTGTTATCATGAAATGTAATTTAAAACTTCCTCCATAAAATAGATGCTTACTGAATGTATAGCATTCAACAATTGACAGACATCTGCCTCCCTGACTATTTCATAACTACTTAGTAACCAACACCTTCATAGGAATTCGTATCCAGATTTTCTTGTGACTCAGGAAACAAACTTCATATTGATTTTCTTCATCTTCAACAGAATTTCAGCCATGGTTTGCCAATATCCACTCTGTATTTCTACAGAACTGCAATACCTTCAGATAATGGACATCTTATATTTCGTTAGGAAAGGCCAGTACCTACAGAAGCAGTGTGAATGGAAAGTGTAAACAAAACAGGCTTTTCCCATTGTTGAGAAAACACTTTTTCTTTAAGTGAACCCACAGCCTACAGGTACATTACAATGTAATTCCTCCCACCAAACAGCCATTCCCTGTTTTGTCCATGCCACTCAGGTTTTCTTTATCCCTTTCAGTGTAAAAACTTGGCTGTTCCCATCTCATACAATCTAAGCCATGGAAATCAGAACTGAAAGAAGAGTTGGGGCTATAGCCTACATTTGTGCAACAGTCCAGCTGTGAAGGCTGGGGGGGAGTTCCTCAGTGTGATCTGTGTAAAAGTTTTACTGTAAAATAATCACGGGCTGAATAGCAAATTCCTCACAAGGATAAAGAGCCTCAGATTCCCAAAACCTGTCCCATGGGAGAGCTCTGGAGCAAAGTAGAGTCCTGGCATGGCATGGATGTGCTCCCCTGGGTACATCCACTTCCATCAATGTCTGTCATTTGCTTGGCTCTCCTCTATGAAACTTGACAGTAAAAAGCAAGAGTTCACCACTGCAACGTTAATAAACCTTCCTAGAATGCATCATTTTGTATTATATTCTCTTTTGGACAGCCTCGTCTGTAACCACAGAACAGATTCTCAGCTATTCATCCTTTCACCCTCTATCAGTAGCACATTTATCTTGGATTATTATCTGGGTGGTACAGCTATTTCTATTTTAAGAAGTTTTTCTCACCTCAAAGCAAATGTTTATTTAAATAATTTGCTCCTGTCTAGCAAAAATGCATACAAAATTAGAGTCCCTTTAGTACCATGTATTACTAAGGCAAGCTTTTTCTCTATATTAATAGCTAATAATAAAAATCCACACTGAAAAATTAAGCAAAATGGCATTTCAGTTCTTCATCAAGCCCTTTAATAAGACTGCCTGGCATTTAAGTTTCTGCACCATGGAGGCAAAATAAAATCCCCTCTTTCAATGGCAACATCTTATTAAAGGAAGGGAGAAAAGAAGGATAGGAAACAGTTTGTAATTATTGACTCTACACTTATTTACATAACAAAAGACCATTTGTCTTGTGGTACACCCTGATTGTAATGTTGAGCAAATAAAAGGTCAATATTGTGACAAGAGCATTCCAAATTTAAAATCTTTTATTTTAATGTTCAGCTATTTGCCATTTCCAGATTGGAGCAGAAGCATGAGCAGTTATTTATGTGCCCATCAGCATTACAGAGTAGCTAACATTTAAAAGCTGTGTGTGCATGTGCAGAACACATGATTACACAGAGCATGGTTATCAGCAGCACACTGCAAAGACAGACCGTCCTTTAAATGCATTCAGCCTCATTTCCAGAGCTTTGTTGTGCCCCTCCCTTTCCAGCTACAAAAGGCAACAGTGCAGAAGAGCAGAGGTGAAACGCAAGGAGTGATGGAGACTTTAATGCAAAATTATACTGAAGCTTGGACTTATATGGAAAAGTTCCTCTCCATCCTGTTGTTCCCAGTGAATTTTTCTCCCGTGCAAGTCAGGATTTACTACAAAAAGGAAGTGTTTATAACACAGTACACTCACCATTGTGATTTGGTGAGGCTTAGAACCACAGCACATGGGGAGAACTCACTGGAATTCAACATTGCATCAATTGTAACAAGACTCACAATACTTCCTTGTCCCCTTCTCTAATTTGAAATCACCAGGATTTGAGTTATACTTTCTTACCAAGGCACTGATGTTTGTCATCTATAACCATTCCAATTTCCAACACTTCTCTCCAGCTGGGAGTGCTAAGGGCATGCAGAGGAAGTTAACACAACTCAGTAGAACTTCTGTGAAATGACTGTGTGATCTTTCACTCATCCTGCCACGAAACATGTTGCCATTCTTGATGCTGGCATTTCCGAGGTTATTTTTGTAGAAGAAAATGAAAGAAAAGTGCCATTTTATGTGTGTTACAACAACACAGAAAGAACTTGCTCAGACAGAGCACTGAGCAGCTCCTCCACACACCCAGCTTTGGGTACAGCAAGGTAATGCAGTCTCTCCATTGCCACACTGATGCCAATGTTCATCAGAGACACTTAATTA